CGGAGTGGATTGGAGGATAGCATCAGGGAAAGGACCAACATGACACTAAATGAAACGCGAGACAGAAAACAGGAAGAGAGGAACAGAAAAAAAAAACGGTGGACAGAACTGGTTTTTGGATTATCTGTGGTGCCCCGTGCAGTGACCAAATGGTTAGGGCAGGACAGAGCTTGCACTTTTTTTGACATTTCTGCTATCTTTGTTATGGTCTCTTTGACTTTGTATTCCATAACTAGTGTTTAGTCATTACTAGTATTTGCTCCGTCAGGTATGTGAATTATAAGTCGACTGGATTTGAAAAGGGGTGTTTTTTGCACCACATTCCTACACAAATCTGTAACGATGTCCAATTTTTGGCCTTCGATTTGTTTCTTTGCCCGAAATAATTGAACTCTGTTCTATTCATCCCTGCCCACGGCAGCGTTACAAACAGCGCGTGTCAACCCTTGACATTTCGTGCATCATTACGCTTGGTTTGAAGTTAACCACATGCTTATGGATAACCAAACAGGCATGAGATGGTGGATTATGACTGTGAAAATTGTCTTCCAGAAGTCTAAGAAGAGAGTGAGTTAAGAGAAGTATTGGATCCATTCTTTGCGTGCCTCGGCGCAACTGTTATTCTGCTGGTATATATACAGTTTAGTGTCATTAACACGCACGTGGTAAGCCATGACATTTGGTCCATCATTATTTTGGTTCGCTTAACGTTTAAAGAACTAATCAAATGGCAAATGCAGTATGACAGAAAGTTTGCCTGCGGTCTGCAGGCCCTTACACAGTACTCGTGATAGCTTACTTGCAGGGATCGAAAGTGTTATTGAGCAGTATTACATGGCCATATGCATGTCCTTGCAAGTGTCTATCTGTGTGTGTGTTTTTGTGATTCCCAATTTGATACATATTTCGGCATTGTCATACATCTTCAGCGATATCTTAGTGTCCGTGCGACTAGAAGGGCCGCAACGCATGATGGGTAAAGGGGTGAAGTCTGCCATCTCAATTTCGCTCGTTGTCGGTGCATGGGTGCGTCTTCTCGGACGAAAGCTTGAGATCTTAATTGTCCTCCCAAAATCTTGGCCTGGAGGTTCTCCCGGAGTTTTGAGTTGGATCGGCCCCAACCGGACCGACCGGCATGCCTCACCCGCGTGACAGCACGGTCACGTGACGCCTACGTCACCAGGCTAGGTGTATCCCAGTGTGTCAGTCTTAATGTGACGCAACGTTGGAGCAGGGCACTGTTGTGTCAAACTTCCGATAACCTGTTGTAGTGCACGTTGGCACTTGTTGGCGCACGTTACTTTAGCATCAGCACCGTTGCCGCATGTAGTGTGTTGGTCGTGTAAGCTATGACATGGTCATTGGTGCATCTTCTCGCATGGGGGAAGAGACTGGCGACTGGCGACTGACAACCGTTCCATGTGACCAGGTGAAAAGGTGAGATTGGGGGCGAGTTTACGTACTATATAAACACGTACAGAAAATGTGGTTCTTCTGAAGTAGGGTAGTTTCATATAGTCTCTTGTAGGAAGTTCTTGGGTCCTAAAAGGCGGTCTTTGAAGCCATTTTAGAAGTAGGACAACTTTTACCTGCCCCGAAGGTCAGTTGTCACCTTTTCACTCCGGTCTGGTCTGAGTGCTTTCTGAGAAAGAGTCGAGGGCACGCGTGTCCAAGATATGATCCATGTCTCATTCATGACAGTCTGGATATAGATATGATTGTAGACCTTTAAAAGGCGCTGCTTTGGACAACTTTTGAAAAGCAAACTGTCTTACGGGTCGGTTACATAATTCGTCGTACGATTATGCCGTAAATTGTCAAGCAGGCTGTGACAAAACCAAGGGTCTACAACTAGCGTTTCCCTAACAAACAGCTGAATTTTCGTAGGGCATCTTCACAACTGTCTCAAGAATGATGTCCTCAGCTTGCGATTGCACGACGTACTAGTCTGTGCCTGGCCCCTAACTCCCAGTCTGGTCGTTTAAGATGGACCCTTAACCCATGAACCCAAGCTACACGTGAACGGAAACAGCTGAGAGGACGGGTTAGCAGAATAGCCCCAGGTAACATCGAGGTGTCGGTCGGTCCTGTTCAAACCCTGCCCGACTGACTCCACGTTCGGGCAGTGTATAGTAGAGGGGATTCATTAGTCAAGCTGACCGACATCTCGCTCACGCAGTAGCCCCCCAGTAAGACATCTGGAGCCGCATAGTTCCCGTTTAGAACCTTCATTCGGCCTGTCACACGACCGGTTTCGCCTGTGTGGCTTCTTCAAGTGTACAGAGGCTAAAGATACACGTTCGGGCAGTGACAGACAACTCCATGGCGGATTTTCTGAGCCCGCAGAGGTCCAACGGCATGTTGGAGTTGTCTTCGGGACTCCCTAAAGACAGAGTGTTGCAGCCGGCCACTGGTGTGAGCGTCAGACATTACGTGGTTCTGGGGACCTGTGCTCGGCCCTGTAAACCCTCCACGTAAGTAAGCGGACGGCTCTGTTGACATGCAATCAGACGATATCGCCTATGGCAAATCATTCAATCTAGTCGTCTAGATTTTACTATTTTTCAGCCAGCGCTGTTGGTCTGATGGAGACTAAGTGTTAGTCAGGTGGTTGGCCAAAATCTGTAGTCAGATCTAGGGAATAGTATCATGTACAGAGTTCTCACCATTTCCAGGTATGAGTCATAGTTGTTGATTCCAACAGGGCACGTTTGATTGGTTGAGTGTTTGACCTGTTTTTCTTTGTACTCCGAAGACACATAGTCCTCCATACCTAAGCTAGACAATAATGTTTTCAAAACACCAGCGACACTTTTTGGGCTGGGAACTTCCTCAAACTTTAAGTGGTGTCGAGGACTCGAGTAGCTAGGCAATTGCAAGCGGTAACGACTGAGATTTTAAGGATCGCGGGTCCGTTTGTGTCCTAACCTTGGGAATGGCACCTAACACGACTTCCCTATCACTAACCACGGTAGGTGTAAAGTAGGTATCTGACTTCGGTTGGGGAGGTAAAAGGCAGTTGAAGGAGAGGGATGGCCTCCACCTTCCAATACCGTGCCCTAGACACAGTGGATCAAGAACCCACTGCCCCTACGGCCTTACAAAGGTTACAGGACAGCCTATGCCTTTTTTTGTGACTTCCTCAAAGACAGATCCTTATCACAATTGTACACACTACAGGCAAAATGACTACAGCGCTAACTCTAGCATACATATTGCAAGCGTCTTGTATAGACTTGGTAGTAGCAGAACAATGGTCATAGTATTATGTTCTGCGATATTACAGTACAATACTGTCATATCTTCGCTAGCTCGAAACAGTGCGACAAAAAAATGCACGTCGAAGCGCCTTGACAAGTTCTTATCACAACACAATCTTCAGTTTCCTGCTTTGCCATTCCGATTCTTATCTCTTATACTTGCGGGTAATATTTTCTATATGATGGGGTTAAGCCTCTAGATTCGTATCTTATTGCTGGGCTCATACACACGCTGTTAAGAATACTATCATTTTGATCATGTAAATATAAAGATGCCACCTGCCGCGGGCACATCCTTCTGACGTCCCCGCCCATGACCCATTGTGATAGGGTCAGTTCCCTCGGAGTGGGGTATTGTTGTCTGACAGATTGACTGCTGGCTAGGTGAGTCATACGCCAGGGGTTCAGTACTAGTCAGTACTAGTCCCGGAGACCCACTTATGATAGATATATAGCACAAAGGTTGGGGTTAAACTATAGCTTGAAACAAAATGCATTGTCTATTGTTCGTAGTGAACCGATGCAGGTTTTCATGTGGGGTCTTTGACATTTACCAGAATTTATCAGCTGTAAACATTGATATGTCTGTTATTTTGTATATGTCTCAGTGACCTGGGCCCGAACGTAAAAATTGACCAGGATCTGACTGACTACCATACTTCTGTTGGGGGAATTAAATGGCAGTGGGAGGACAACTTGGCCACCTCCCTTACGGCCTGAGAAAGGCTATGGGACCACGCACAGCACACGAACGTGTGTGTGTGTGTATGCGTGTGTGTGTATGTGTGTGTGTGTGTGTGTCTGTGTGTGTGTGTGTGTGTGTGTGTGTGTGTGTGTGTGTGTGTGTGTGTGTGTGTGTGTGTGTGTGTGTGTGTGTGTGTGTGTGTTTTGTGTGTGTGTGTGTGTCTGTGTGCTTACCCATAGCTAACGGCCTGCCTTCCCCCTACAGCATGTACCGGTGGCTGCTGCGGCTGAAGAGGACCACAGGCGGGTCTGTGTTCCTCCTGTGTTCCTCCTGTGTTACTGTAGTGTTACTGTAGTGTTACTGTAGTTTATCTAACATCCTGCTTCCCTCCTGCAGCATGTACCGGTGGCTGCTGCGGCTGAAGAGGACCACAGGCGGGTCTGTGTTCCTCCTGATCATCTCTATCTACTTCCTGGGCTTCAGCCTGCTGGAGATCCCCGGCATCGCCATCACGCTCTGGCAGGCGGGCAGGGGGTACGTGTGTTTCTTTGTTGTTGTTTGTTTGTTTCGATAAAGTTTAGACATCCAGGTAATTTAACAGGGTAACCTTGTTGATGTTCGTTTGTTTGTTTGTTTGTTTGTTTGTTTACGTCGATGAAAGTTAGACGTCCCAGGTAAAAGGACACCAAACTAACACTACTCAAGCAACTGGATAGATTTTAACAACAGCTTTAGATAGCATCCGCTACACTATTTGCTTGTTTGTTTGTTTGCTTGTTTGTTTGTTTGGGTGGACCGATTTTCATACTGATTAATTATCATATTAAAGCTTCTATTTGTAGTTCTGGAAATGGGAATGGTTCTCTCAAGTTAAAGATGCATGACCACAGACTCTCGGGGAAGAGACCCAATCAGCCCTCGACAGCGAGAGATTATGTACTACAGGCTATAATGTAGAATGTACAGAATAATTGCCTACTGAACTAAATCACGCTTGTGTTGGTGTCTCCCACATACAGTTTCGTGCGGACCAAAGAAGTTCCCCAGAACCCAGGCTGCCCGGGCCCGTCATGCCAGGAGGACCTGCTCACTCTGCTGAAGGGCGCTGTCCAGGGCAACCAGTCTCAGCAACAGCAACTCCAGGACCAGTTCGGAATCAGCTTACAGACGCTCATCGACAACGCCAAGCCTAGGATAGACCCTAACAAAGCCCAGGACGCTGTAAAGAACGATGTAGCTGTGGACAAAGGGTTGGTGCCACCTGTAGACAAAAAGTTGTTACAGAGTGATAACAGAACTAGTGAAAACACGACTGCTGGGGAAGAGGAGTTTTTCTACATCGTGCATGACAAGGACGGATCGAGCAGACAGATCCCCAGTAAACACCCGGTGGTGAGGATACACCAGAACGTCAACCTCACCGCCATCATGGAGGCCTTCAGACGCCCGTGGATCAGGGATGACGTGTCGCTGTCATTAACTAGGTTAGTTGGTTATTGATAACTGTACTGAGATGACGTATCGTTAACTATGTTGGTTATTGGTGACTTTAATGAGATGGCATACCAGTATCATTTACTAGGTTAGTTGGTTATCGACAACGCATCCCTAGTATTAACTAGATTAGTTGGATACATGTCTGGAACCCAAGCATACAAACTGCCCCGAAACCAACGCCACCCTAAGCAATACTTCCTTCCTGGAAGTATCAATTAAACTGAACCTGAACCCAACATAATCTCCAATCCAAGCACATCTTTCGGAGGCAGCAAAAGACAGTCTCAAATTGGTCAGGCTGTATGCATTAGCCACCCGAGTGGCTAATGCCGTAATGGACACTCCTCTGGCCAATAAATACTGCCTTGCCACCGTATGATTTAACCATAGCCTGGTATCCAGTCTATCGTGGTTGGGGCAGGTTGTCTTCGGGGCTCTAAGAGTTTTCCCCCGTCCAACTGAACAGACAGCCCGGTAGGAGTGTCCCATCTGTAGGAGTTAGTTGGGCTAGTTAATCTCCCATTGTGAAAAACCTACCGGGGAACCTAGCTGAGTCGGGCGGGGAAGAACTCCTGCAGCCCAGAAGAAAATCCGCCCCAACCACGATAGACCGGATACCAAGTTACCGTATGATCTGCCTGGAGATTAAATCTACAACACGATCTTCCCCTGTGCAGGTCCGAGCTTGAGCGGTGCTGCTCCAGCCGCACGATGGCGCTGATGACACAGGAGAACTATGAGGTGGGACAGTTCGTGCCCAGCGCCTTCAACGCCAGCGACGCCAGCTCCTACAGGATGACGGACGAGATCTACAACGTGCTACTCAAGGTGAGATGGGTTCTCAGAATAGTTTCTATTGCTTAATTGTATAATAAGAAAAGAATGGTACTTTGAATATCTGAAATGCAACGCCAGAGACGGCAGCTCATACAGGATGACGGACGAGATCTTCAACCGGTTACTAAAGGTGAGAAGGGTTCTCAGAATAGTTTCTATTGCGTTAGACTATAATAAGAAAAGAATGGTACTTTGAATGTCTGAAATGCAACGCCAGAGACGCCAGCTCATACAGGATGACGGACGAGATCTACAACGTGTTACTCAAGGTGATACGGGTTCTCAGAATAGTTTCTATTGCGTTAGATTGTTAACTGTTCATAACAAGGAAATAATTGTATACTTTTCAACTGCGTCAAAGAAAATTTACATAGTTGGAGTATCTGAATGTAATGGATAAATTTATCTTCTTTGATGCACTCAGACCAACTTTGCATGCGATCATTATATGTTCCTACATCTACACATGTACAAAGAAGCAAGAAGAAATTGGCTATACCTGGTTAGCTTAGTACATTGCATATTACTATTATTTATGTAATGTTGTCTATATTTTCGTACATTTCTTTGTTACTAGTATATGGTCATACGACCCGTGAAGGCGTGAATGTGCAATGAAAGTCTTTTTTTTTAAATTTTTTCCACATTTCCAGAAATCCCCGTACCCAGACAAACTTTACAAGACATGTTCAGTAGTAGGAAACAGCGGAGTACTGAGGGAGAGTAACTGTGCTGACCACATAGACAGCGCAGACTACGTCTTCAGATGTAACATGCCGCCTCTGACGGACAAGCGGCATCTCTCCCACGTCGGCACCAAGTCCAACTTCACCACAGTGCCAATGTCCATGCTTAGAAAGTAAGTACTTGCTTGACTCACTAGACTTATGCCGAGTGCCAGTCCTCCTTTGCCACTAGAATCACATGGGCAGCCCAGAAGCTCAAGTCTTGCATAGCCTTCCCCATGCCATCAGCTTGTAGTTGTAGACCAATGTCTCAAGCTTGGGCAAATGGCTGAGACCTCCTTTTCCCATGATAAAGATGACATTAAGAAGTTGATCCCCCACTTCCCTGTAACTTCCAAAGCAATGTGTATCATTTTTGCATGTACATGATACATGTACAGTATAGTTCATTTCCGACCTGAATACACGCTAAACACTGGTCTTCTCTATCTTAATCTTCTACACTTTTGCCGTGTTATCGCTGATGTAGAAATCTGCGTTCCCCCCTGTCCCAGGTACGGGAAGATCCAGGACTCGCAGGAGCTGAAGGACCGGTGGTACAACCAGACCCTGCAGTACAAGGGCATGGTCATCATCAAGAAACCGAAAGGTGAGGGACAGAGGATTATCTCAGATCCCAGTAGTTATGTTGTTTGTTAGGATCGTACGATCACCATCTTTAATTTCTTACTCTCCAAGCAGAGCTTTAAGTTTCTGCTTACCTTTGCACGTGATTTCATGCATTTTATCGGGGTTTCTTTTCTTATTGGTGTCTTTTTCGCTAGCCAATACGGTGGCGCGGTGGATACTGTCTTGCCAATTTGGATATTTTCTTGTAACCACCAAAAAATTGCTTGGAAATTACGTATTTGGTTGGTGCATCTCTACATTCGATCTTCTTCTTCTTCTTTTTTTTGGATCATTTCGATCACCCCCTGACATCCCCCTAACCCATTATTGTCATTGTCATTGTCAAAAGATCTGCTTGTGGCTTTCTTAATGTTGTTGGGTCGTAGTTGGTCAAATTTGCTTTGCTACACTTTCCTCTTACATGTTGACCACCCCCTGACATCTCCCCCCCTCCCCCTTTAGACCAAACGCTGGTGATGCAGGCCGAGCTGATGAAGCGGCGGACGGACCTGCGCGTGGCCTACGAGAACCCCGCTCACTTCATCGGCGTGCAGCGGTACTGGGCACAGCGGGGCCTGCCCAGGAAAATTACCTCAGGTGGGTCATTTAAACTGTCTCAAGTATGCAAATTAAGGTATGTGCACACGTTTGTGTGGCTCAAGCGCAAGAAACATACTCCCAGTTCACCAGAAATGTAGGTTACGTATTTAAGTTTGTACTAGAAACGCTGAACTTGGAATGAAGTTCAACCTGACTTTGAAATTACCAGAATTTCTTCTGTTCAAATGCAGTCTTCTCTAGACACGACAATCACTTCATTTTCGTGTACACACGTACAGTCTCTAGCTGTCCACAGGGGCTAATTTGGTCAAATCAGCCCTACATGTCTAACACAGGATAACCATTCCGATTCCCGTGATCAATCATCAAAATAAGCTCATACCGTCGCTACACAAACCCACAGGCCAGCCACCCAAAATAATATTACACATTGCGTTCCTCCCGTCTCTGCAGGTTTTTACGTGATCACGGTGGCGCTGATGCTGTGTGAGCAGGTGAACGTGTACGGCTTCTGGCCGTTTCCGTTTAACGACTCAGGCGGGAAGGTGCGCTACCACTACTACTACGCGCCAATCTTCGTTGCCCCGGAGACGCACGACATGGCGGTGGAGTTCATGAAAGTGAGAGAACTGCACCAGAAGGGCGTCATCAAGATGCAGCTCGGGAAGTGTCAGGAGAAGAAACCGAAGAGAAAACTGTGACATTGAACTTTAAACTTTTACATCTATCAAAAATTTGTACGGTATGGTATTTGGACGGGCCGATTAATCTGTCCTTACAGTAAAGGGCTGGACTGTGAAATTACAAGAGGTGGGGATGGCTTCAAACAAAAACAGTCATGTGGGACTTCAAGGAGTTGGGTTACAACTGGAAGGGAGTAAGGAAGCGAGTACAGGACAGAGGAGAGTGACAGGTTGTGATGGCCCTCATCGGCGCCAGCTGATCATGAAATGCTGCTACCAAAAAGAAAAAGAAGGGGATGAAAGACAGGGGTCAGGAGCGCTTGCCATCAGGCGCGAACTCAGGTGACCTCAAAACGGACAGTTACAGCCCCGGGTGTGGCTGCAGGAATGTGAGGTTTTGATCTACTCGTGTTGCCAACGGACGTTTTAATGACGCGATAATGAAAACTTTTGAATGAGCAGATTCTGCCAGAACCGGCATCATCGAGCTCCAGGTGCTGGAAAAGCAAAACGGCAGCAATCTGTGGGAACAGTAAGAAAACAATTGGTTCAGTCCAAGCGGTGCTTGTACTAGTAACGGTCACTGGGCGACCACATCAAGTGGAAATGGCCAAAGATTGTTTCCAGGCCAGTAGCGCAACATCAATGTATTTTCTTCAACCGGGGCCATGCTGATTACGAGCGTAGTTTATTTAAAAAGAACACAAACTTTCAAATGAAACGACGGACGTGTAAAAATGTCTGCTTTGGTGAATGTGCTGTTAAAAAAACTCGGGCAAACTATATTGTGTGTTTTGACAGAAGGAATACAAATATATGGGTATACGTAATGTGTATGGCAGGCAATGAACTCGTGTATGATATGTAAATCTGCTTAACTTGTGATACTTGTTGTAACTTGACAGATTGTAAATGAAACAAACGAGGCACCGAAGCTCTATCTCTGTAAAAACGATGGGTTAAACGTCGACTAAAGAATGATCCAGCCATAGTGTTATACAGATGTGTTAATGGGTTTATAGTCATATAAGGTAAAGTGTGTGGCAAAATGCTGCTTTCAGGTTTGGAACGTTTTTCTCATTCCAAACTTCTCATCCATCTGTAAAAAAAGGTTCACCCGTTCTCTTCAACAGTTGTAATTACCTGCATTGTATTCAGAGTATCTGAAAAAGTCGTCGTGGTACTAAGATCTGTAGAGGTATAAATTTTGTGAAATCATTCCTAAAAATGGAGAGGGGCCAAGTGCTTCAATGGTTCACCCGTTCTCTTCAATAGTTGTAATTACCTGAGTGTATTGTATTCAGAGTATCTGAAAAAAGGATCTGAGAAAAAGTCGTGGTATTAAAATCTGTAGAGGTAATTTTGTGAAATTATTCCTGAAATTGGGGAGGGCGAAATGTTTCAAGGAATCATTCTTACTTGAACTTTTATAGTGTTCCTTGTACAATGGATCTATGGAAGGTCTTCCAAGAATATATTTCCACTATCAAGGTATGACATTTGTTTGTTGTCACTTAGTCACTGCTATCTTTTTAAACGCAGTATGAAACCGTGTGGTGAGACGTGACATAATTCAAACCTACCCCTCTCCCAACCTTCTAAATGGAATCGCCCTTGGCAGAATTCTGTCCTATGTATTTAGACTCTTGTTATCAGTACCAAAAATGGCTCTGCATCGCTTGAGGGTAGATAACACTAAAAATATCCACTGAAGCAAGAAGTCGTGTCTCAATGGGTTGACTACGCCACTCCGGTATCCGAAGACACACATTCGTTTAAGATAAGTGTGCGAAACATGTTTACTTTCTGGGTACACCATTTATCAAAAGAAAACTAGAGTCGACAGTTCTTCGGATGTCTCAAGTTTATTCTGACGATCATCCAATCCAGAAACACTCACAGTTTCCTATTCAACACGTTTTTCATTATCACTACTCATTGCTCATTGCTTCTCTCATCTGCCCCCTTTTTCTATGATCTTCAATTCCCCATCTCAGGCTAATGACTGATAACGTTTAGCTTAAAAGCTCGTCTGTGTTGGTAGAAGTCGTTATGAAACAAGTTTGAACTATAATTTCCAGACAACCTGGTCGGCCTGATCACTGACAACAACCTCCATTCTTTCAAAACAAGAGTACACCGGCATCTTCTTTCCACCACCAGGACTTCTGCATCACGGTAGCGAGAACTTTGCAACTTTGCTGTAAACCAATGGTTAGCCAGGAGTGTTACAATGCAGGCTATTGTTTACATCAGCACATGATAGAAAAAAGTGAAGTTTGCTTAAAGAGGCCATCTACATAATGGCATTGCAACCATCCCCCAAAAGAGACGGGGGGCGCCACAAACTTTCTGCAACTTATGATCAACTCCTCACCGAGTCACGTGTACTATCTACATAACGTGACGTCACAGAAGCAGCGGATTGCTCGTTCCTTTAACCTCTACCAGGCTTCGGGAGGCGGCTGGAAAGAGTAGAAATCGGCCAAATAGAGAGACAGCATGCCAAGGGAGTGTGGTCAGCTGGTTTGCCGCTCCCGAAGGCAAACTGTTCTCTCCAGCCGACCAAACTCCCTTGACATGCTGTCTCTCTATTTGGCCGATTTCTATTCTTTCCAGCCGCCTCTCGAAGCCTGGTAGAGGCTCCATTCCTTGACAAGACTGGAGTTGTACAGTCGAAATTTGGGTAAGCCTATTTCTTGTGTTGGAAATTACAGTTCCAGCTTGTTTCATACTGATGACGGTCTTTGCTCACGAACTCCATGAAAACTTCCTCGCCATCCTCATCCTACTCTGGATCCCCATGACGTAAGGGTCGTGGGCCACGTCATCCATACCCCGGATGCTAGTTCGGGTCGACCTCACCAGATTGTTGGACCTTTCGGAAAATAACATCGAGGATTACATATCTACATACAGATACAATAAACAGCATTTTCATTAAATATTGACTCTGACTTCCCAAAGACAAGATATGTACTTTCCTTTGTAGCCAAATTGGAATCAGCATGCTGTTTGGCGTTGTGAGTTGTCCTATTGTGTGTGTATTGTAATCATGAATGTATAATATTTTTGACGGAATCCTGGAAGAGAAGATTAGATAAATTCTAATATAAGGATGTTCAGAATTATGGCTAAGAATTTCAAAGGCCGTAACGTAAAGAACGCATATCAGATTATGCTTTGTATTTTAAACTGTTACATGTGCATGGGAGCCTCCTTATACATGTAACTTAACAAAACATCACAAACCTCTCCAGTTTCTTCTCGAATGAGCTCTTGGGCCTCCAGGTCTCCTCGGTTTGCGTGGGCAGGGCTCCACGCATGGCGTTACTCCAAACTTTTACTTTAAACTAAATGGGAGCCTCCTTATAAAATATCATGCTCCCCGCATGGCGTTACGGTGCAGGGCTGCCTGGCGCTCAGTGTGTGTTACGCTGAAGGGTGGTTATACTGGCTATACAGATACAGATACAGAAATAACAAAAACATCACAGACCTCTCCAGTTTCTTCTCGAATGAGCTCTTGGGCCTCCAGGTCTCCTCGGTTTGCGCAGGCAGAGCGCCTCGCATGGCGTTACGGTGGCGGGCCGCCTGACGCTCCGGGTGGAGCTCCTCCCTCCGTCCGTACGCCGCGCTCGGAGTCAGGTAGTCACTGTCGAACTGGTTCTGCAGCCGCTCGATCCGCTTTCTGCTCACCGATTTAAATTGAGAACTTTATTGGCACTACAAAAGTACAGCGACGTTCGTAAGGTCTTAAACTACATGTAGACTTTAAGGAGAAACAGGGTGTACAGAAAATGCAAAGTGATACGAAATGGGTAAAATCGGTAAAAAACATATTAGATATCGCTCCATTTCGCTCAAATGTTGAACTGACCCTTCAGTCTCTTGCTCGATGCGTCTTTAGTAGCACGCTTGCAATACTTCAAGCAATCATTCAGTAATACTAGTATCATAGCACAATCGTACGCGTATTGTGCAATACATGTATTGTATTTTATGAACACTTCACAGAGGTCTAAAATCTTCCGGATTTCTTGCTTTTATTTGTGACTGAGATCCATGATCATGAAATGGTTCTTTGCCCCAAATATATACAAACAAACGAAGAAGCAAACGTATATTACGCCCTGTCCTTGGAGTTGATGACCCTGCTCCGAGCGAAGCCGAGTCCGAGTGACGTCAGAGCTACCCGTTCCTGAAGAAGGTCCGGGTCCACATGGGTGTACATGAACGAGTCATCCCAACCCTGGGAACGAGTGAGATGGTTAGTTGTGATTAAAAGATATAAAAAAGTTATATTCTTAATCTATTAAAATAACAATGTAACAAAATATTCAACACGTCGGTACCGACAAGAATACAAAGCAGTGACAATCAAAGATACACGCGGTTCAACATGCTTAATTTAATGACATCATAACAATAATTTAAATGACGAGATAAATAATGATTTGTAATTAAGAAGAGATATCATAATGGTAGTGAGTGTTCTAGAAAGGAACCGGAATTTGTACAAGGTAAAAAAAAATCTCTGTGTACAAATAAGAGCCATGCAAGTTAGGGATGGGGGAGGGGGCCAGTATCATCTTCACTATAGCCATTATAGGGCCCCCTAAGTAAGTAGTAAGTACACCCTAAATAAGCAATAGCCTACAGGTCCTTATTTCATCCGGTACAGTTCGCTGTTCTGGATGAAATAAGGAACAGGGTTTTATAATTCTTTAAACATCAATAATTAATCACACTAGCTTTAAATCACATTGACTTTTGAAAGAAGATTCAGGAATTCGATGACGCATGTCTCTACTCAAGTGTTACACACTTATAAATTTCAAGCAAAACAACAGAGAATTTTTACTTGCCGTCGACTTCCTTCTCTCCATAGTAAGAAGATGACTGAATTTCTCTTTTCGGCTTCTTCAAGTTGTTCACCGCTCTCTATCGTGACTACAGCTTTGTTGGTATGCTAGCTTTAGACTTTTGTACAGCCGGACAGAGCGATGGTTTCCTTCGACACAAAATGGCGTCTCAGACTTAAGGGGCCTCTGCTGCTGAAGCTATTTAAGGTTCTGGGATTGGATCGTTCTCATTCTCATGTCCTCAAGAGACATCGTGATACTTACTGCGATGGAGGGAGAGTGCATTGGGTCTTACTGGCGGGGACACTCTTTATGTTTTACTTTCGCAGAAGGAAAACATATTATTTTTTATCTGTTTTTTCCTTCCTCTTCTTCTCCATACAACTTGATAGGGTAAATGACCTGAACAAGACGTCTCTCACCATGGTAACTGGTGTTGGGTTACATGATGTTGCAATTTTATAGCAGAGGGATTTAGACTCCTGTCTGACCATACATATGAATGTGTTCGAGTAAGAATCGATAGAGCAGACCTTATGCGAAGAATATATGTATTTGCATTATTACCTTCGCCAGAGGGTTTTGTTTTTGGTAACGTTTGTGTCTGTGTATGTATGTATGCATGCATGTATGTATGTATGTGTAACGTTACATGTGGTTTAGCACGATAACTCAAGAAGCTATTCATGGATTGTCACGAAACTAGGTAGGTGGATAGGTCTTGACTAGATTTTTGGGATCCCTAGCGGTTTGTTATGGCACTGCAGCAGAATTTCCGGATTGGATGTTTAGTGATAGCTTAGAGAAAATTCAAAAGCATTTTCCACAGATTTTCCACGCAGGAAATTTCTACTTTGTACTCTGAAAAGTGTAGACTTTCTTTTTAAGTTGATATGATATTCGACCAGGTAATCATAGAACAGGTGAAACTGCCAACGAGAACAGGTGCATCTCGTCCCCAGGGTCAGGTGACTCGCGCCGCTGCCATTGGTCAGCCGTGTTCACGTGACGGACGCCATCTTTGTTTTTATTTTCGGTGGGGGAAGCCGAAAAGCCAAAGTGTTTCGTGGACGCGTCTAGAGCTAGCTCTCTTTCATTTTCTCGCTCTACAAGCAAGGTAGACTGCTAAACATGGGCGATAATGCTGTGGACAAAGTTGACATGTCACTAGGTAAGGCTTGCTTTGAATAGCTGTAGCAGAAACGTCAAGAACTGGGAGAGAATTAGAGCGCACTAGATAGCGAAACAAAAAGCACCAGGATTTTGATAATTTTGTAAAAGAAAGCCGTCGTTATTTCTTATTTTGCAGAAAATTGATGTTTAGTTGTGGAGTTAGCTTGGTACTGAAATGTTTGTAAGGTCACTAGTAGGTTTTTCCGTATGTTACTGTATCCTCACTTTGGCTTCGAATGATTTTTTGACATGTGTATTTGTGGGAGGGGGGCATTTGATAAGATTTTGTAGAGCTCTACCTATAGCTCTACTATACTATGCAGACTGCTACTAGTCTAGTAGTGCACTATGTAAACTTGGCCATATAAGTATGTGACGATGGATATGAAACTATAACGCCTGTGCTATTTATTATCTTAAGAAAAGACGTGTAAAGCTAACTTTGAGCAGTTAGGGTTAGTGTTTCCATGTTGGGTTATACATGTAGTACTGGTGAGGTGCCAGGCCATAGGAGCTCGGCCATAGCTGTGATTTGAAAATTATGTGAGCAACTTGACACCGAATATCAGCGTACAACACCAGATACCCAGAAATACGTGACCCAGTATCAGCCCCACATGATATCCTTGTCCGTCTGAACCCTCTGGTATTCCAAGTTCAGGGGTTTCATCAAAGCTGGGTCCATCTTGATTTGGTAGTTGTCTGTGTGTGGTTTACGTGTAAGTTAGAACTTAGAGCAGTGTGGTCTGTGAACCTCAGTTAGATAAGCCTGGTCAAGACTACCAAGTTCAAATCATTATAATCATTCAGTGGATGTCAGACAAGTCATAATGTTGTTAACTCGGAGTGAAACAAAAATGCAAGTCCTAGGATGAGTCCAAGCTCTAAGTCTAACCCTCATCATCATCATAGCTTGTGAAGTTGTGTAACCCTAAAAATTGTTAATGGTGTTGGTCCTTAGTACTCCTTACCCTGGCTCTAAGTCTAACCCACTAACTGTAACCATAACAATTGTCTATTTTGTTGGTCCTAATCCTTAGCCTGAGTGTCAGCCTTGATGAAAGCTAACAAGGTTGACACCCAGGCTACCCAAACCTAGCTCTAACTTACGAAACTCTAAGTTTAACCTTGTCAGTGGTGTTCGCCAGCTCTAACCCTAGTAACCACAAGGTGTCCTTTCCTAGTTAAGAATTGTCTGACGTGTCACAAACTAATGGAACAGGTACTGAAACTCTAGTAAATTACTTAAGTAGCTAGGATAATACTGATAGTAAGGCTAGTTTGTCAGCAGGGAGCAGGTTAAACAAATAAACTGAAACTTATTAAACCCACAGTGCAAAGTAGACTTGTGAACCCCTCCATGGCTGATTGACAGGTGCTGCCCTATGAACCAGGATGTGGTGTTCTATAGAACAGCTGAGAGGGGTCGGGTTACACAGGAATGGCAACAGCTGTTGATGATGAGGAGGGGCGCTACTTTGTACTTCACTATGAAAAGCAGGATGCTCTAATGCATATTGTAGTAAAGCCTCCGTAGCAGGCTTATACTAATATAGAACTGGGGGTTTAGTGGTCTTCGGCTGTTTTCTGATTAGCCTCCGTAGCAGGCTTATAGAACTGGGGATTTGGTGGTCTTCGGCTGTTTTCTGATTAGCCCAGTTTAAAAAAAAAACGGGGGTAATTCAACCAGGCCGGCTATGTTGTCTATATGCAATCAGAAAATAGCACATAAAAGCTCCCAAAGACCCTGAAGACCCTCAAAACACCCAGTTTTTGGCATGCTATGGAGGCTTTGTTGTAGTAGGGTGTCTGAGTTTACACGTCATAATAAAGAAAATACATGCAAAAGTATGGATTGAGTTCTGTTACATAAAGATTAAAGGTATGTGTAAGTCAATAGAAAGAGTGTTAGGTGTGTTACACAATGTTTGTGTAACCAACCACAAACCAATTTCAGAGACAATTGCTACTTTGTACTTCACTACGAAAACCCGGATGTTCTAGTAGTAGAGTGTCCGGATCGAGTGCAGTTGTGTAAGGGTATATGTACTAGTAAGGCCACACCAATTTAATTTCTTGGTTAACGGATTCGCCGCTTCATTTTTTTCTGATTTGCAAATAAAAATAAAAATCCAGAATCAACTGCAAAATGCTCATATTTTGCCCTGAACAGTTGAAAACAGACCTTTTCATCCTAGTTGTTACAGTTATTCCATCTTTCAATGCAATGGTATCATTAAAAGTTCAAAATTCATTGTTAAAATTTTTGAACCAGCCTGGTGTGTTGACTTCATGGCTCCTATCGTACCATTTTGGGCCATAATACGATGCCTAGGCCTGTTTTTATTTTTTTTCGCCCGCCCGCTCCATTATTTTTCTAGATAAATCCGTTAACCAAGAAATTAAATTGGTGTGGCCTAAGTCAATAGAAGAGTGTTAGAGGAGTTTGAAAAATTTTTGTGTAACCAACCACAAACCAATCAGATAGGAACAACTGGGGTACACTAACAGGACATGTTTGGCTTCTATAGCCAGTGGCTGGCAAGCAGTCTGTCTGGTAATGTATACTGTCACAAAAAACATTTTTACTACTAAAAATTAGTAAAATCAAAGAACCCACATATTATAGAAGAAGTGGGTATTAATTCGTCTTCCACTGCCTAAAAAGATGAAGTCAAACCCAGTAAAACTAGTACCATGCATGTTGTAGAATATAGTATAATGCTAGACGTAGATATAGTCTCATATACCATTGTATTTTCTTTCTTATGTTGTTTGTAATGTAACTGCAATTAGCCCTCGGGCATGTATTTGCAATAAACTTTCTTTCTTTCTTATTTATGAATGAAAAATGTGTTCAGAAAAAAAAAGAATACTGATGATTACTGATTTTTTCACTGTACTGTTATGTTCACTGTTTTCACTGTCACTTCTGTACAGTGAACTTATCATACTTTCTTTTTCTTGCACCTGTCGCCAACGTGAATATATAGTTCCGTGAACATGTCCATTTTTATCAGACTGGGAACTTTTGCTACCGTGAACCTAGAGTGAATTACAGTATTCAACTTAAACAACTAAGACCTAGAAATAAACTCATTATCATCAACATAAACACAGATATGTTTCCTGTGCAGTTGTTTTATATTGCAGTAGTTTAAAATTGCAGCATGTTCTTAAGTCTCTGCTATCTGTTGTTTTCCAGATGACATCATCAAACAGAATCGTAAGGAGAAAAGAGAGGCGGCGAGACAAGGTCGCAACAAAAAAGTCACAAAACTCATCGGCAAACCAGGTATGTATGCTTATGTTCCAAGAAGGAAATTTGTGCGAGGTAACATTGACTTTCAGCCTGCTAAAGTAGCTATTTGCCATCAGATTCGTATGGGTTAGACAGTAGAGACAAATCCACACATTTTTTCACCAGGGTGTCAGTTCATCTTTTTTCAGGAAAAAATCTGACAGACAATAAATTTAATTGATGTGGCCTCACGGTTATCAAAACCAACACATTTTTGTAGACTTTTCAAACCTTTTGCATCATTAGAAAAACAATGAATACAATAGAATGTCTTCCTTAGTAAATGTTTGTAATCCTGCAGTATTCGTAAATGATTGTTAATACATGTCAAACAATAAGTAATAAATCAATAAACATGTATTAAGTATACCAACTAGAATCAAAAAGATGGTCTCATACCAATATAAATTGTAACAGTTGGTCTCATACCAATTTAACACCATGATCTCTCTCTGTACCCAGGTGCTCGCGCTGCCCTAGCCCTGAAGGCTGTCCGAGGGCGGGGTCGGGGCGCCCGCGGGGCGGGGACGTCAGCCCGAGGGGCGGGGAGAGGAGCCAGGAGGGGTGGGGCAGCCGGACGTGGGGGGAGGGGCAGAGGGGGTGGGGCTGGGGTCGGCCGGCTCAACAGACAAGGGGGAGCACAGGTAAGCTGTGGTTGTGTCTGTTATAGATTCTATTTCCAGTAGATTTGATTTTGATGATAGCAACCACAACCACATCTTTCTTCACTGCTAGGTCTTACCAATTCAACTAGTTGGTTTTCAGATTCAAAAAGTATACTACTGGATAAATACAGGGATTATTTTTGGATGTTTTGAATTTTTGTGACACCTGCCACTTTTCTGAGGAGGCTGAAGAAGAATTCATGGATGACAGTCAAAACATCCAGAAGTTATCTCCAGTATGAATTTCCAACACAACAGTAACTCAAGCAACAGGATAGATTTTCAAATTCTATCCAGTACCTGTTACTTTGGTATCTTGATGCTTGGATATCTTACCTTCATGGACATAGAGATTAATTAGCATATGTAAAACAATTTCAAGATTACAGATTGTATATTTGGAGGTTAAAAGGCAGTGGAAGGAAAAGGATAGACTCCACCTTCTGATACTGTGTCCTAGACACAGTGGACTAACAACCCACTCCCCCTACATCCCTGCAAAGGGACTGGGCATTAACCCTAATCATTTTCCTCTGTAATCCACAGCAGCAGACTGGAGCGAACCGGCCGCAGAACCAGCGCAGCCAGCTGAACTCCCTGCGGAAACAGAAGCTGCAGCAGGCACGGCAGCGACTACAGCAGCAGCAGCAGAGGCAGCAGCAACAGAACAGACAGAACAAACAGTTCCAGAACAGGGGACTGCAGCAGGTGGGGGTTCTGTAGTATAAACAGTTACAGAACAGATAGAATAGCTACAGAACAGAAGCTGCAGCAGGCACGGCAGCGACTACAGCAGCAGCAACAGAGGCAGCAGCAACAGAACAGGCAGAACAAACAGTTCCAGAACAGGGGACTGCAGCAGGTGAGGGTTCTGTAGTATATAAACAGTTCTAGAACAGATAGAATAGTTACAGAACAAAAGCTGCAGCAGGTAAGCAGCAACAGAACAGGCAGAACAAACAGTTCCAGAACAGAAGACTGCAGCAGGTGGAGGTATAGTACACTGTTTTGTGTTATGTAGTGTAGACTATTCTACAACAGGTTTGTGTTCCCAGGGGTATTAACAGTTCCAGAACAGGTGTCACTGCTATAGATGCATTCCCAAACGTACAATATGGGAAAGCATCTATAGCAGCGACACCTGTGCTGCAATGCAATGTGAACCAGTCAGAATTGCCCTGAGGAAGGTGACAAACAGTTACCAAAATGTTGGCTGTGAATAAAACACTTGGTTGTGTCTCTTTTCTCAGTAACTTACCAACCTGATGAAACTATTCACAGTTTTGTGCTTTGTAAATGACACTAAAACAGGTTATGTTACCTTTCCCCTTTGCCCCCAGCCTCAGCAGCAGAGAGGTCGAGGACGGGGTCGGGGTGGAGGTCGCGGGCGGGGTCAGCTGAACAGGAGAGGGGCATTACAGGGTTACCAGGGTAACCGACAACAACAACAGCCACAACAACAACAGCAGAACAGAAGAAAGTAGGTGTTGTTTTAGAAGACTTTTTTTACCTGCCTTTGTTTCAGTAAACTATCAGTTACACCTTCATTAATTGTAAGATTTAGATTCCAAATTTTTTGTGTCTTTCAAACTCAGAATGATAAGTCTTACATACTTTAGGGGTGCCACAGTATACAGTGCAATTTTACAGAATAAAGTGCAATTTTACTTGTATGATAGATGCACTAGTAAAATTGCACTGTATACTAATACGATTGCACTGTATTCCGTAAAATTGCACTGTATACTAGTAAAATTACACTGTATTTTGTAAAATTGCACTGCATACTCTGGCACCCCTGTACTTTTCATTAACATTATAAGAACTTACTGGTCAGACGTTGAATCTGTATGTGAATGTGCTCCCCCTGTCTGTTACAGATGGAACAACACCCCACGAGGCCCCCCTCCCACCCACATCCTGACTGTGTCCGTCCCTAACCCACTGGCAAAGGGAGCAGCCGGGTAAGGAATCAACTATAATTTGCTTGATTAACATGTGCAAAAAGATGCCTGTATATACATTTGTACACTTACAGTTCAATAAAACCTTCTTTTTAAAGATTTGATTTTCACAGAGCATGTTTCATCCATCAGATACTCAAGAGTCAAGTAACATATTTTAGAGTAAGCATCAATCGTCAACCAGCAAGTCCCAATTAAAGGTCTTTTGTGCAATAAACGTTTCTCATTTTGTTTCCAGTCACATAGCTTGATAAATGTACATACATGTACCTGGCCAGAAATAGAAGATTACAACTGAGCTGACTTAATGTTCTTCTCGCTTACCATCTCAGGTCACAACAGAAGAACCAGGGATTCTCCAGAGGGTTTAACAATGCAGGGAACAAGGTCAGTCATTTCTCATTTCTTCATGTTGCCTAGATGTCAAGAAAGCTGCAAGATATGTGTCTACAAGAAAAAACAAAGACAAAAGACATTGCATTTGTATCAGCTGGCTATGATTGTTTCTATAGACTATACTTCACCCCAAGACTTTGTTTTCGGCTTGTTACAAGTGTTTGACTGTATGTAGCATTACGATACAACCTCAGTGCTGCTATTTCTGTCTATGGGACCTGAAAGCCCACAAAGTAGCATGCATATATATGGGTAAGGGGGTGAAGTCTGCCATCTCTGCCTTTTTGTCCTTTTGAATCCTCCAGGGTGGCTTCAAGACATTAAGTGACCGGTTCTCTGCGACGCAGCAGGCGACTCCCAGGGGTCAGCAGGTCAGAGGTCGCGGGGGCAGACGAGGTCGTGGAGGGGGCAGAGGTCGTGGCAGGGGCGGGGTCATGGGTCGAATGGTCACTCTACACTGATGACTGTCCCAGTGTCTGTGTTTTTTAGAGCTGATTTTTTTATGGTTGAATGAATGGCTTCTTTCTTCTCCCCAAGAAGGCTCATCCATTTGTGCTAAAAGACTTTGTATTGTAGGAAGTTGAACTTTTGATCCAACTTGTAGACAGTTGGGAATTCTTAACTTCTATCAAGTCTTCAGACCAGTAGCTCAGTAGAACTAAATCATTTTCACTGAGAAGACTGAAGTTACTGTTGAAAGTTCTATTCTGCTCTGCTTTACAAAAGTTCGACTTCCTACAGCATTGTAGGAAGTTGAACTTTTGATCCAATTTGTAGACAGTTGAGAATTCTTAACTTTTATCAAGTCTTCAGGCCTATAGTTCAGGAGGAGTAAATCATTTCCACTGAGAAGACTGAAGTGACAGTTGAAAGTTATGTTTGGCTTTGCTTTACAAAAGTTTGACTTCCGACAACATTGTTGTTTGTTTGGTTTGTGTAGATGGATTGCTGTAAGTTGTAACTGTAGATACTAAAAACTTGCTCTGCTAGTTTAAGTTTTTCATCAAATACCTTGACACCTGGGTTGCTTGTTTACCTCATCAAGACAAGTATGAGTTTGTCATCTGAAATCCTACAGCTACAATGTAGCTTCATCTTTCTCACCCAAATGACATCACTTCTCTAATCAGTTTACGTTGCTCTATGTGCACATGAGTTGATGATGTATGACCAGTGGTGAACAGGGAGTGATGATGTAACAACTGCAGGAAACAGTGACATCATTGCATAGAATGTACTTGTAGGTAAAATCAACCACATATGCACAATTCAAACTTATGATCATGCCCCTTTCCTCTGGGTCCCTTCTAAGCACAGTTTAGACTAGAAGTAGTACCATACCGTGTCTTCACTCACACAGACCAGCTCTGCCACTTTACATGTAAATTTGTACTTATATTTCCCATATATTTCATAATAACAGCCTGTATTATAGCCAAACTACAAGTGTAAAACAGTACTGAACAAGACAGAACAACTTTTATCTTTGTAACAGTGTATGAATGATGGAGAAAACATCTAGTAGTGCAACTTAGAACCTTTGTATGGTTGTTTGTGTGATTTGTATGAAGTTATGTCCAGTAGTAGTAAAAAGAATGTTGTCAAAACGTAGAGTACAAGTAGGAGTAAGAATACAGGCATTTGTGGACCAAGAATCACTGTCATTTTGCACTTTGTCGTAACATTTTAATGTTTTTTGTAAACATACATTTGACGAACAGAATTTTTTCACAAGATAGCTATGCCAATTTGAATTAGGTTACCCTTTCTAAAGACAACAAATTTCACAGGGATTGTAGCACAGTATGAAAGATAGCATAATCGGTTTTGAAGATTTGCCACTTTTTTATGGTGCTCATAGCATGTTCTTGTACAATGAAAAAGATTGGGGGGTTCGAACCTAAGAAAAGTATGAGGGATGAAAATAAAAACAAAATGTATTGAGCACATAGAACAAAAACCATGTAATAGTATTAGTAGACCCAACATTACAGTTGTACTTGTCTGTTTTAAACTCCAAAGTTCACTTCATGTGTTATTATTTGTGTCTTTGTGCTCGAATTCATGACCAAGTAACAAAGTTGGAGCCGAGTCGAACAAGTAACACCTTTTTGTACTAGATGACATACAAAAAACTGTCACAGTAAAAATAATACCATTACCAAAATGAAGTTTCGTATGGATTGATACAAAATTAGGACTATACTGTACATTGTTAGGCAATGGTTATCTTCACATTCTCTCAACTACATTTTTACAATTGTTTGTACTGTCTGTAGTACTCTGTACTTTTGCATCCATTTTGAAAGTAATTCATGTAACGTTACAGTGTGATATTGTTAACATCAACAAAATACAGATGAAATTGTCAAGACTACACAAAACCTTCATGTAGTTGTGCTTATTTTTGCTTCACTTTGTAGTGTCAAATATAAGACATAATGAAGAATGGGATGCTCTTTTTATCAATGAAAGTCTTGCAGTGAAATTGGCCCAGGAGGGGAAATGTTGCATTGCAGTTACGAAACGCTAGATGGCTCCACTTACCCACTTGACAGCGAATCTCGCAAGTAAACCAGGAAATTTTAAGCTCAAAACACAACTCAAGAGCACGTAATATAATAGTTGAATTCTAGATTGTAGAATGGGTAATGTTTTGTTTGAGAGGCTTCTAGTTTTGTTGTCCGTAAGTTAGGACACGAAACAACTTGATCAACAGTTCCGTTGTCAAGGTGAACACGCGCCCATCACGTGATAGCGGCGTGACCTCAAGAAATCGAACCTCAAGCGTGTCCTTTTTAGGAGAACGTCATCAAAAATTCACACAAGTTTGCCATAAACTTCCCGAATTGAATTGAAAAGGCAGCTGAATTCCGTATTTTCTTGTTTAACAAGAATTTCTGAGTCCAAGAATGTTGTTACCTCTGACCTTGCTGTTGAAGATTCAACAATCCGGTTGCTAGGGCGTGGCCACTCGTCGTCAATCACGTGACAGTTCTCTGACGTCACGGACTACGAAGGGCAACGTCACAGGTCAACAAGGTTACGACGAAGTTTGCGAAGCATGCGTTTCAAAAACATTACGAGGTGCTTTTAACAGAAAAAATTTTAGCCCGGTGCAGTTTTTAGCCTACCACAACGATTTTAACAGGTGAGGTGAAGATGTGTAGAAGGTTATTGACGTAAGTTATCGTTAAGTTGCGAGTAGAGGTCATTTTTTGGTTATCGTTGCCACGCCCCCCCCCCCACAACGCCTAAACATTTGCCGGTCACAGACGTATAGTAAATACATTGCGTAAATAAGCATTGCGTCATCATATGCTAACATATTATGCCTTAGAGATCGCGTGTTTCATTTCTTTTCATCGAAAAAAATGCAGTTCGTCAACAACTTTTGTCGCATAACGTAAAACCAGAGCACTTTTAGGCCTAACACACGTTTTGCAGGGTATACGAGGGATCGCTGTTTCTGTTTATATCATATAACGTTACATGTATATGAAAATCATGTACAGACGCATGCAAATCATTGGTAGGCAAATCAGCCAATCGTCATGCAAGCTGAGCTTAACGGAAATGTAAGGTTTGATTTACTCGCAATATGATATTTCATCCCTGAAATGGCTGAAACTCCAGGCCAAAGTAGGCTTTCTAATCTGTTTTCAAGTTGCTTTCTTCCTGTAGCATTATTTTCTTCAATTACAAAACCCAAGAACCAACAAATGCGGTTGGTTTGGCCTTATTGTATAAAACACTGCCACAGAGCACAGGTCAAACCTATTGTTAACCGCCCTTACCATCTACTGCATGATAAATGCTGGTCATTTCCGTAGCGGCCATCGCCTGTTAACCTGCGTCAACCCGGACCGTTCTATTACTCTAGCCTCCACCAGGCCTTTCTACGGCCATACGGATCGTAGCATTTGGCTACTCTCCAAGCAGAGGTTTGGGTTTGAGCTTATTTTTGGCGTGTTTTTATGCTTTTTATCGGTGTTTCTTTTTTTTTTTTGCACTGGATTTTTTTTACGCCGTTGGCGCTTCAGTTGCAAAAATAGAAAACCCGATAAAAAGCCTAAAACACGCCAAAAATCAGCCCAAACCCAAACCTCTGCTTGGAGAGTAGCCTTTGGCAAAAAGAAAAATTGGCCAGGCGAGTCAGTAAGCGACAGCCAGTCAAACCACAAGGCGGCCAAACTTTCCTAGCAAATATTCTCCCTATAATATATAGCCAGCGACTTAGTTATTCTGATAGAGACTACTAGTACATAGCCTCTCGTGCGGGTACAAACTTTCTCTGGGCGGCTGGTTGAAGGATGGCCGGCAAAAGAACGCGTTAAAAATTCTACAAAACGCAGTATCCAAACTCCCACCCGCCCGGAGGCCTGCACAAGAGGCTAACTATTATTACCCAGCTATTCCTGGCCGGGGGAGTGGTTAGTAGTTAGGGCGGAGAGAGCCCAACGGTCGTGTGTCTCTGTCACCGAAGGGCAGCCGGACATTTCACGGTGGTTGGGCGCGAGGGGTCCCGAGGGGAGTGACGGATCGCTACCGGTAACGACCTAACGGGGTTGGTCAGTGTCCGAGGACAGATAGGGGCATGGACCGGTGAAAGCCTGGAAGCGTAACAGGTAGGTTCTAGCTTGCATACTCTGAAATATACATTCTAAAGCGCTAATACTAGATGGTTTGTTATGGGCAGGTGAAAGTCTGTATAAGTGTAACAGGTAGGTTCTAGAACGGAGCTGCGAGTTTGTGTACTTAGATACACACAGACATGTACGTAAGCGCCATACATTCTAGAGCACTATCGTTGTGTTGCTTTGTTGTGTCTATAAGCGTAACTGGTAGGTTCTAGAACGCCGTTCTGAGTTTGTGTACTTAGATACACACAAACATGTACGTAAGGGTCATACATTCTAGAGCACTATCGTTGTGTTGCTTTGTTGTGTCTATAAGCGTAACAGGTAGGTTCTAGAACGCCGTTCTGAGTTTGTGTACTTAGATACACGCTGACATATGTACGTTCTAGCGTGCTATTGCCATATGTTTTCATGGGCCGGTGAAAGTCTGTAAGCGTAACAGGTAGGTTCTAGAAAACCGTTACAAGGTTGTGTACTTAGCGTATATAGATACGAGTAGACATATGTTGAAAAGTAACAAGTACATTCTGAAGCGCTGTTTGACTTTTACCAGGGTCGGCATACAGACCAGCTCCTCGGCTCCAAATAAGTTTTACTAAGGACACCTCTTAGTTTGGCTCAGGGTCTAACTAATTTGCTGGCCTGTGTATTAGCTAGACCTGAGAACAGTATGACATCCAGGCTACCGTTGCTACGGTACACTTGTAAAGTTTAAGTTTGGATTTATGAAAGCGATCGTTCGTATATCACACGATACGATACAGCGTGTTTCGTAACGCCGCCCAGCACAAGTACAAATCTATCCAGGTACGGTTTTCATCGATTTTTTCTCCGGGCTAAAAAAGATCCTCCCCGTGAAATGTGCGTTTAACGGAAGCCGTATTGATATTTGCGGAGTCATCAGTCCGACTAACTGCGCAGCTCGCCATATGGTCAGATATAAAACTGTTTTACGGAGCGATTATTATTCACTTGGCCTTGGAGTTGTCGGTAAGGCGGCTGTACTGTCAGGAGTGATCTACTTTAAGGGACATGGAAAGTTTAAGACATTTTCCTCCTTAGTAAATATAAGATCAGTATAAGAATGTCACAAGTTTTGGAAAAGCAATAGATTATTCTTCACTTGACCTTGGAGTTGTAGGTAAGGTGGCTGTACTGTCAGGAATGATCTACTTTAAGGGACATGGAAAGTTTAAGACATTTTCCTCCTTAGTAAATATAAGATCAGTATAAGAATGTCACAAGTTTTGGAAAAGCAATAGATTATTCTTCACTTGACCTTGGAGTTGTCAGTAAGGCGGCTGTCAGGAGTGATCTACTTTAAGGGACAGGGGAAGTTTAAGACATTTTTCTAGGAAAGTATAAGATCAGTACAAGAATATCATATACATTAGAAGTCTTAGTAAACCACGTTTGCGATGAACAAGACTAGAGCAACAAAACAGCCAGTGTAAAACAAAATCAATTAATCAAACGTTGATTGATTTATACTTTGAAAAACGTACATGTACATACATTTTTTTCTTTTGAAATCTTGAAACAATAGGTGTTCAATATTGCAATAAATCAATGTATCTGTCACCAATTATCCGGAATTCCAAAAAAATGATTAGATTATTAGTAACTTTTCTGAAAAGAAATGTTATTGGAGTAAAAAAAAATATACACCGTTGTATGTTTTCTTTTGAAGTTTTTAGATAAAGTATAATTTGGTATATTTGGATAAATAAGACTGGTGACACTGCTTGACAGTGTGTTTAATTAAAGTCACCACAAAGTAGCCAAATCCCACTTACCCCAACCCGAACCGTGTCCTTACATGCAGGTCAACTATCGTATCTATCTCAGCCACAACCGCCAAATTGGAAAGAATTAGTGTGGAGCTCTGCCCCGAGCGGCTACCTTCGTGATGGAAAATTTTTGTTTGGGGGATCGTGTTGCTTGTGCAATGTTTTTCTCTTAACGGAATTCCATCGTACAGGTGGGTGGACGTGACAATGTACGTTTTCATTGACAATGGTCTCAAGTGTAGGTCCTTGAATTTCAGATTATGTGCAGAGGTAGTACAACATGTATTGAGATTGAGAATGTTAGAATTTTTTTTGGCGCGGTTTGGGGATCGTGTCGCATGTCGAATGTTTTCCTCTTAACGGAATTCCATCGTACAGGTAGGTGGACGTGACAATAATTCGTTGAGAAATCGACTGTACGTTTTTAGTGACCATGGTGGCGACTTTAGGTTCCTGAATTCCAG